GGGCCCGTGCCCGATCCATGTCGGCTCCCACCATAACACCCCTGCCAGGCACAGTCTGTGGTCTGCAGTAGGTGAGCCTGGGCCACACTTTGAAGGAGCTGGGCCCGGCTGAGGAGACAAGGAGCCCGCTCTTTGGAAGGCATGGTAGGCTGGAAGTGCCCATCATTTCCACAACGCGAGCTGGGCTGACTTGAAATGTGTCTGCAGCAAAAACTTGGGCCATGAGACCACAGTTGGCATAATGGCTATGTCACTGGACTCCCATGTACTCGACTGTGGTTCGAGTTCCAGACCCGGTGGCTTAAACTCACACTGGGCACATGAGTCTGCGTGCCCAGGATCCCGAGAGGAGAATGGAGGAGAATGGATTACCATGTGGCCATCCCTTTGGTGGGTGATTTCTCACTTTTTATCTCTCTGTCTCTCTCTGTCTCTCTGGTGAGTACACATGCTCTATAGCCAAACCTCTCAAAAAAAAACCAAAAAACATAGGCTGCAATAACGAAATACCAGAGTGGCTGTCTTGAGTGACGGACGTATTTTTCTAAGTTTTGAAGCTGGAAGTCCAAGATTAAGGTGCCAGCAGGTTGATTTCTCTTTTTATGGAGAGACTTTTTTTCTTTTTTTTTTTTCTCTTTTTTTTTTTTTTTTTCTTTTTTTGCTATAGGGCGCGTGCGCTCGCCAGACAGAGAGAGAGAGACAGAGAGACAGAAAATGAGAAATTAACCCCCAGGGGGGACAGCCACACCGAAATCCCTTCTCTTCCATTCTCCTCTCAGGATCTTGGGCACGCACGCACACGCGCCCGGCGTGAGTTTAAGCCACCAGGTCTGGGGCTCGAACCACAGTCGACTACATGGGAGTCCAGCAACATAGCCATTATGCTAACTGCTGGTCCCCCAGCAGGGTTGATTCCTGATGAGGCCTCTCTTCCTGGCTTATAGGTGGCCACCTTTGCTCTGTGTCCTCACATGGCATTCTCTGTGCCTGGGAGAGGACAGAGGGAGAGCGAGATCTCTGGAGTTCCTTCCTGTATAAGGGCACCAACCTGACCTCATAAACCTTAATTATCTCCTTAAAGTGTCCTGTCCCAGTCTGAGGGTTTTAGGGCTTCAACATGAGAGCTTTAGTGGGATACAATTTAGTGCACTGCGGTGTCCCCCAGAATTTCATGTCCAGCTGGAACCTCAGACTGTGCCCTCATTTGGAAGCAGGGTCACTGCCGAGGTGATGAGGTAAGACGAGGTCATACTGGGTTAGGTGAGCCCCAGATCTAATGAGTACTGTCCTTATCAGAAGGACGCAAGGAGGCATCGGGGCAGTGTGGACGTGTGTGTGGGATTCTGTGCACCTGCGTGGCTGTTCTTCATGGAAATGGCCAGAGGCCCGTGTCAGCTTCTCCCCAGCTTTAATCCAGAGGAGCGTCCTCAGATTCCTTTCATCATTTCTTCTCAAGTCCTTAGGTTCCAGGGAACTTGGTTTATTTTCCATTCTTCAATTGTGGAAATCAATGCCTTTGGTTGTCGCAAACTGCATTACCTGAAATTCCAAAAGGAGACTAACATCCTCGGCTGCTGATTGGAACCCTGGCTGTGCCTTCCTGGCTGGGCATCCTTGGGCAAGAGATGGACTGCACTGGGCTCCAGCTTCCTTACCCGGAAGGGGAGTCAGGGAGCCTGCGTACCTTCATGGCAGTGACGCCCAGGAGAGCACAGCTGAGGCCGGGGCCCTGCACGTGGTCGTTACTCCGTGAAAGGCTCCCTGCCTGCCCCGTGTGGAGGGAGGTCGTTGGGAGGTGTTAGGCCTCGTCATGACGAGCCCAGGTCTGAGGAGACCAGGGTTCTGGGTGTGAGATGGGCCAGAGACCTTGGGACAGTTCATTTGTTCATTCATTCATTCAACGAATACTGTCACAGGCTGCTTTGAGCAACACAAGGGTTCTCCACTCCGGGGACACAGCCACAAGCTACACAGATAAGGTGAAGCCGCTTAGGGTTCCAGCAGCAGCAGCAGCAGGAGAGGAGGGGCAGGAGGGTAGGGGATGAGGCCAGACTTTGCTGATCTTCCCAAGACATCTGCATTTACTTCTGAGTGAGTGGGAAGTCAGCAGTGTGCTTTGTTCT